ATACCCTAAGAGCATGTGGTACTCCAACATCATCTTGAAATTAAAATTTTAGTTCTTTTGTTGAACTTCTCTTTCTACTCTCTCTTGCTCTTCTCTCTCTCTCTCTGTCCCTCTCTGTCTCTCTCTATCTATTTTTCTCTCTCTCTCTTTCTCTCTCTGAGTGTATTGCACATTTCTAAGAGGGTGTGTGCACCTGTGTACATGCAGAGACCAGAAAATGGCATCGGATGTCCCCTATCATTCTCTATCTGCTTATTTGAGTCAGGGTATTGCCCTCACCCTGAAGCTTCTTTTTTTCTTGACTAGGCTGGAAGCCATCAAGCCCCAATGATCCTTCTGCCTTGGCCCCTTTGAAACTGGGGTGCCAAGCATTTGTAAGACACCCAGCTTGTTACACAAATGCTGGGATCCAGACTCTGGTCCTAATTTCACAGCAAAATTCTGTTAAATTCTAAGATATCTCTCCAGGCCCTGAAATTTTAATTCTTTTGTTTAGTTTTACATTCTATCATAAATTACTATTTTTTTTGCAAAGTCATTAAAGTTTATTTGTTTTTAATTTAACAAACAGCAATTATATAATTTATAGTGCACAATTATTTCAAGGAAGGATTACTTCAAGATAATTAACCTAACCGCCACCTCATATAATTGTCATTTCATTGTTTTGCAGTGAAATATGCTTTTAAAACAATTCAGAGATATGCAATGCCATTATTAAATGCACCAGCACGTCATGTACTAAGCTTTGAGGGTTTATCCCATTTGAAACCTTGTGCCATAATTCTCTGCCAGAAAACTTCCGGTGTCTTGTAGCCATCATTCTTGTCTCTACTTGTGTAAGTTTACAGTTCTTAGATTCCGTATCTAAATCCCCGTGGCATGATGTGATGTTTGTCTTTCGATATTTGGTCTATATCACTTAGCATAATTTTCTGCAAGTTCATTCATGGTCTTACAAATGACAGAACTTATTTCACTGTACATTGTCCCACACTATCTTTATCCTTTATCTGTTGGACATTTAGGTTGATTACATATTGTGACAATTGTAAATAATGCTGCAATGAAATCAAGTACAATTAACCTTTCAACATGCTAATTTCAAAAGTTTTAAATTATACTTAGACATTCTTTATAATTACTGCTCTAATTTACTTTCATATCAGAGCTGGGCATGGTGGCACATGCCTATAATTCCAGCACTCAGGAATCTGAAGCAGGAGGACTGTGAGTTTGAGACCAGTTTCCATATGATGTGACCTTGTCTCAAACAAAAGCATATGTTTCCAATAATGGAATACAAAGATTCCGTTCATGCTTACAAACACTTCAAATTATTTCTTAAAGTTGGAGAGAAGGCTCAGTGGGTAAACGCACTTGCTTCCGTGCCTGAGGTTGGTTCCTAGCACCTATATGGTACAAAAGAACTGACTCCCTCAAGTTGTTCTCTGACTTCGTTTGCACATCATGAAATACTTATGTTCACACACATATACACATACATACAAGATAAATATATAAATTCACTTTTTTGTCTTTTTGAGACAGAGTCTCTCTGTAGCCCCAGCTGGCCTGGAACTCACTATGTAGACCAAGCTGGCCTCAAACTCACAGAGCTATGCCTGCCTCTGCCTCTTGAGTGTTGGGGTTAAAGGCATGCACCATAATGCCCGGCCTATAAATGTATTTTTTTTCCAAATTTCAATCTTTTTTGAAAATAGTCATTCTAATAAGTGTGAAGTAATACCTCATTGTATTATCTTTATTATTAATGATATTGAATTTATCTTCATAAAGCTGTTATCCATCTTCTTTTGAGAAATACCTATCTAAACCTTTGATCTGTTTTAAATTATAGTGTTTTCCCAAATGATCCATTTTTTAGATAATTGCTGTTCTTGGTGTGAGATGTGTCAAACTTGAATATTTTGTACATGTCTATCCAGTTACCACAGCAACCTTGTCAGAAAACAACTGCCAACAAATGCAAAGTTTTTTTCTGGGTTTTCAGTTGTATTTCAAAGTTTGTCCTTGACAAACTGCTTGATTATTATAGCTTTCATAAAGTTTTAAATCAAGTAAATTTGTTATTTTTCATTCTTTCCTTTCTTTTTTCCCTTGTTTTTCTCTTTCTTGCTATTTGGATTTGCCACATTTCAATATAAATTTTAAAGTCCATTTGTCGATTTATGTGAAACACTTAGGTAGGATTTTGATGAAGTTTTCCTGAAAGTTTAGCAATGAATTTGGGGGATATTGTTATATCAACAGTATTAGATGTTTCGATCTGGGAAGGCAGGAAGTTTTCTCATTTTATTAGAACTTCTTTTAAAAAATATTTTATTTATTATTTTTATGTGTATGTGTGTATTGCCTGCTTGTAGGTAAGTGTACCCGTATTGTGCTATGCCCGCAGAGGACAGAAGAGGCTGTTGGATCTCCTGGAACTGGAGTTACGGACAGTTGTTAGCTGCCATGTAGGTGCTGGGAATTGAACTCGGGTCTTCTGCAAGAACAACCAGTGTTCTTAACCACTGAGCCATCTCTCCGGACCTAATTAGAACTTCTTTAATTGCTTCCAGCAATGTTTGCAGGTGTCAGTGTTCAAGCTTTGCATTTTCTTTTAATAGCCCTTTTTTATGCTATTGTAGATGGAATTGTGTTCTTCACTTCATGTTTCAGATTACATGGTGATAATATATACATAATAATTTGTTGTTACATTCTGATCTTGAATTCACCAAATTTACTAAATTAATTTAATAGCTCTAACACTTTGGGGGATTTCTTAGGATTTTCTAAGCATGGTTTTATCTGCAAATAGAAATACTTCTTTATTTATTTGACTTTCCTCATTTCCCTGACCTGAACTTCCAGTACAGTGTTTACAAAATGCATTGTGACTGAGCCTAGTTATCCTTATCTTGCTCCTGTTCTTTCAGGAAACTGTTTCAGTATGTTGATAACTGTGCATTTTTTATAGTTAACATTTTATTGGCTGAGGAAATTCCTTCTGCATTAATTTTGTAAATCTCCAGTAATAAAGTATAACCAAAGGGGCATAAAACTACGTTTTTGTTACTTTAGAGCTTTCCAAGCCTCCTATGTTCTTGCCATCTCCTGCTCCAGCAGGTCATGCTCCCACTGAAAACCACAGTGATGAATCTTTACCTTGTATTTTCCTAGCTTCAGGTGGTGGCTATAAATCCCTGGTGTTACATTGCTTGCAGCACTATCACCCCAGTCTCTGCCTCTATCATCACATGCATTTTTTTTCTATTGGCCAAGGTCTGTATTGGCCTTCTCTCTGCTTATGCCTGCTTTCTTCTTCTTCCTCTTCTATTTTCAAAGGATCTCCTCATATCTATTCTTCATATAAAGATGCCAATGGTGGTAGATTAAGAAGCCAACCACCACAGTCTATTATAACCTTGTCTTAACTTGATAAATACACAAAGATTTTATCTCCAAATGATGTATTTGCAGACACTGGGGTTAGGCCTTCAGCATCACTTTTAGGTGAACACTAATCAATTCATGATAGGTATTATTATTATTATTATTTCTTCCTCATAATTACTTTTTCTACTTTCTAAAGACAGAAATTTCAGCTATTTATTTGAGATCTTTCTCATTTTAAACACTTTATTTATTACTTTTATTTTATGTGTATGAGTACCTTGCCTGCATATAGGTAAGTGCACCCGTGTCGTACAATGCTCGTGGAGGACAGAAGAGGCCATTGGATCTCCTGGAACTGGAGTTGTGGACAGTTGTTAGCTGCCCTGTGGGTGCTGGGAATCAAACAACCAGTGATCTTAACTGCAGAGCCACCTCTCCAGCCCTGATCTTTCTCTTTTTTAACATAGGTACTTAATGATACACATTTTGCTCTCTGTCTTGCTTTAACTGCTTCCCAGAAGTGCCAGTATGCTGTTCTTTTATCTCCAGTTTTCTAAAGTAGTTTTATTTTCTATTTTGGTTTCTACTGTGG